TTGGGCCCGTCGTGGTTTTTGCCATGCCTTCCTCACCAGGCTGACTCATTTCCAGTTTTTGATTTACAGTGACAGACAGACTCTCCCTTCCACTTGAACATGCAGAGGTCGCTGTGGGGTTATTAACTGGCCTCATTTCAATACTTCTGTGTCTCACAGAAGAGGAGGGAGAGAGACAGGGGAATGGCCAGTTGGTCGGGAGCAGTTCGTGGTGGCCCCTAATTACAGTCGTAACATCAGATGACAGATCACTGTCACAAACAGAAGAATGAGAAAGTTGGAAATATTGCCGGAATTACCAAAATGGGACACAAAGTGAGCAGATGCTGTTGGGAAAACGGCACCAATATTATGAAGGGTCGCCACAGACCCTCAATTTGTAAAAAAAAAAAAAAAAAAAAAAAAAAAACAAAAAAAACCAACAACACGGCATCTGAGAAACACAAGAGAAGGACGTATGTCTGGGTTCTCTCTCCTCAGACCCTGGTCTCCTAGCTCTGCGTGCGAAACCTCCTCGGAGACGGTGCCGGCTCCCTCCCAGTCGGCTAACCTTGCGAGCTGCCCCCCTCCCCTTTTAAAGCCGCTTGAAAGAAGTGCTGCGTAGACACAAAGGAACATCCCTAAAAACCATAAATAATGACACAACAGACGCAGAAGTGCTCGGCAGGGTTAGGAAAGGGACCTTTGGTTCCTAGCGGCCGCTTAGTGACCCCATCCTCCACTCTAAGTTGGTAACGAGCAGCTTACACTCTGGATCCTTCATTTTCAACTGTCATTCTCTTGCTTTCCCTTACGGTTCTATGCCAATTTTCTCTCTCTCTCTCTCTCTCTCTCTCTCTCTCTCTCTCTCTCTCACACACACACACACACACACTGCCTAGTTCTGCCTGTTTGTTTACGCAATGGAATCACTGTACGTATTCCTCTGTGACTTTCTCACTCAGCACTGCTTTAGACCGATCCCTCGTGTTCTAGATCTTGCCACGGCTGCTCCAGTCTTCTTGCGTGGATTCGTGTGTCCATCCTCATCTGATGGCTACTGGGGCTGCTTCCAGGTTTTGCTTTTTGCTGTTCCTCACGGCGCCACGGATCCCCGTACGTGCCTACTGCGCTGGCTGTGTATCTGAGCGTGGAGGAGCCGGGCACCAGGCTGTGCAGCCTTCACCTCGTACTAACGTCAAACTGTCTTCCAAAGTGGCTGTACCGGTTCATTTACACTCCTGCCAGCAGTAAGTAAGCGCTCGATTCGCTCCACACCTTTGCCAACGTCCGATGCCGTCAGACTCAAAATGTGCGGTGTAGGTGGAATGCAATGGTTTCTCAAAGCAGTTTAATTTTCTCCTCCCTGCTGAGGTGGACGGTTTCACGTTCCGCCTCTTCAGCTCTCATTAACATGAGGATCAAAGGTTCCTGAGGTAAGAGGAGAGATTAACAGGCTCCCTAAAGTGGCCTTGTCCGATAGGTCCTGAGCCAGGCATAAGAGGCTCCATCAGCCAAGCCTCTTGCAGGCCTTGGGCTAGAAGCTGGGGGGCGGGGTGGGGGGCCGACAGAGGGGAAGAACCCTGATTATCTAGAGCCAGAGACAGACAAGACACATACGCCAGTCTCCACACAGAGTAATTCAAAGTGCTCTTGAGAGAACACAGAGTACCGCAGAGTGCATGTAGGGAATCCTCGATGGAGGCAGTCCAGAGCAGGGAGGTCAGGAGTCGAGTGTATGTGGAGCACAGAGCAGGTGTGACCAGAAGGGGCAAGGGAAAGCAGAGGTCACAGGTGCAGGTGACAGGCCCTGTGTCCGCCAGGGGACTATGTGCCTATTTAGAGGCCCCCGATAGACCCTGAGGGCTTGGGGCAAGGGAAGTCTGAGCAATGAAATCCTGGCTCTACAAAGAGTGGAAATAAACTGGCAGCGTAGAGACCAGTCAGGAGAAGTGCTAACACACCTCAGAGTATGTATTAACTGTGCCGACAACACTGTGCAACGGCGTGCGAGAAGAGAGGGGCCCCGGGAACGGACTCCGCAGCCCCGAGAGCTCGCAGGAGTCACAGATGGAGGGGAGGAAGTATGGAAAGGCGGCGAAGAGGCTGGGCCTGTGACGTCACAGACCTAGCTCTGGGTCCGAACACTTGCTGCGTCACTAAGCAGCAGTGTAATCCTGAGCGAGGATTCCTACCGGGGGCTGTTTCTCCATCTGTAAATGGTGGGTCCGGGAGTACTTCCTGGCAGAGCTGTTGGGAGGACGAAGGATGAGGACAGCCAGAGTGGGTCAGGACACAGGGCCTGGCACGTGCTGCGGCAAACACGCACCGGGCTGATGCTGTCAGCCCTCGGCCATCGCCCGGGATGGAAAAGACGTTTTGGAAAGGTTTCGGTCCGGGTTAACACAAAATAGACATTTCTGCTTAACAACTGATGCATAAGAAAATCAGGTGCACGTGAGTGAATCAACTGAGCCCTGAACACCTACCGTGTGCCAGACGCGGCCAGAAGCCGGAATGGTCATAACCAGTGGATCCGTACCCAAGGACTGCTCGGTCCGGAGAGGAAGGATTACAGACCCGCACGCGGCCGTGTGGGGAGGTAACAGGGGTACGTAGCTGTGGACGTACGAAGTGCTGGGACCGAGAGAGAGTGCACCTGAGTGTGGTTGGGGGCAGCGGGGTGGGGGGCTGGTGCCGCTCTAAAGATCACGACCTCAAGTAAGCTGGAGGATGGAATCGGAAGAGCCAACAGCACTACCACGTAAATCTCAGCAGCTAGTTCTCGTCATCATCGATGCAGAACCTGAACTCTATCCGGCAAAGAATCCCGACACCACCATTCAATAAGAAG